CGAGTTCGGCCCTTTTGATTTTCTGACTCTAGTTCCTCGCACATTTCACTGTAGTATTTTGCTTTGTCATTCCGAGCTGCCTTTTGGAATCTTCTGTTCAGCTCTTTAGTATCTTGAATTCTTCCTTGTGCTTTGGCTTCTCTACGCTCCAGTGCAATCTTCAGAGTTCTTCAGAGGACAAGTAATTATGAGTTAATAAAAGACAGTGAATTAACATTAAAAAAAAGAATAGAAATTATGTAAGGTTTTTCTGCTTTCTGTTCTTAAGCTTAAGGTTTTCAAACACTAATATCTACACGAATTATTACTAAAGAAAAGGTGACATTTTTCATGTTTTTCTTTACTCTAGTGTGTTGTGGCACCTGACCCATGCCACTTATAGTCTGGTATCTGTCCGTGGCAAGGCCAGGTCAGAAAGAAAGAGTGAGGACAAACTTGCATGGCAAGGTGATTAAGTAACTTTATGTTTCTTGAATTTAATAATAAGAAATTATGCTTGCATTTTGCATGTCCTTCATTATTTCTTATTTCTAGTAACCCGTCCTAAGCATGTTTGACTAAAGTACTGGACCATGACAAAAAGAAAAATTTAAAAAGAAACAAACAGGTCCTTCCACACAAATAAGTGACGCAGCACTGCCCTGGGAAACCTAAGTATGCTAACATTACCCCCAGGACAATGGGTTCTGTAGCCTGGTGAGGACGGTAGGACTAGAGCACAGAGCAGTGACTCACTTGGCTTTTAGGACTTCCCCACATCCGTGCCACACAGAGTCCTTGTCCAGCTGGAGCTCACGAAGGACGCGACTAGGCTTGTAGGCTGCATTGATGAGCAAAGTGAGGACCTGAACTCCGTTTTGAAAGCAGACACATTGGTTGGGAAGGAGAGAAAAAGACCATTAGAACCACAGCATTCTTGCTAACTCTTAGAATGTTAAGGCTATTTAGAGATTAACTGTAGTCTTGTTAGTTTACAAATGTTAACGAGGGAAAAAGAAATATATAAAAGCTGCTCAAAGAAACAAATAAAATGGTAACCTGAGTCTCTCTTAAGTGAATATTCAAAACAGTATGATAAGGCAGAAACAGGCATGAGTTTTATGTTACTCTAGAATACACTCCAAGTCCTTCTCCAGTTCCCGTACACACGGCATACTGTATTTGCTTGGGACACTGTGTTGATAGCTGAGCTTTCTTATGGCTGGAAACTAGCCAGAATCTCTGGCTGCCCAGACCCTGCCTTGCCACCCTGAGGTTGAAGTCTGAAGGATTTGATACGTCCTCCCTTCTGTTAACTTCAGCATGGCACACTGGTATGTGTCCACGTGTGCAGCCTGATCATGGTGCCTGGGTTAATGTCACAGCAGCTCTTGGTCATGGACTTATCTATCACACACAGTTCACTCTTGCAGTTCTCCTCTAGTCTCTGATAGAGGTAAGCTTGCTATGTGAAAACTGCTGAGGTCAAAGTCCCTGAATGAGGAGAGATGCACATTTCATCAGGCAATAACATGAGAAAGGTCAGAAATGTTCTCTAAAACCTATGGTTGTCACACGGCAGGCAGATTCCTGTATAAATGACACTATGAAACCAGTGTGAAATGTGTAAGTGCTTCTGTTCTAAGCAAGAACCTTACCTCTCTGAGAACTAGAACACAGTTGCCAGGCCCCACACACTGAGGCAGCTCAGCGATTCTTCCTTTGTTAAGGTATGGCCCTGAGAAGCAACGGTGGTTGAAGTATATCTTTGGACAGCAGTATTTTCCATTAATCATAACTGGAAAGTGAAGAGAGAAAAAATATTCAGAATAATTTTCCATTCTATGTTTCCAAAACTGGATTACTGAGGGGGGAAGACCAAGCCTATACACCTCTGATACAAGGTCCAAGAGTGCCTAAGTGTTTTCTACTCATGACTTGTTACAGAATTTGTCACTTTGCACTGACATCACAGTGTCCTGAATTTCATCTTAACAATATTACACTGTTCCTGAGCTCTACACATCTGTCAATAAAGGAAGTGGAGGATGTACTGTCAGAACCCATGATGGCCCCTGAGAGTCAATGCTCTCCAAGTCTTCAGGAAAAGGCGCAGGGTCTGAAATATGGCAGATACCGAGGACCAGCAACAAATTACCAAGACAGAGGAGAAGCCTCTGGATCCCATCAGGCTCAGCCCAGAGGAGCGATTTTAAGTGAAAATTCCAAATGACTGAGAGCTCCGAGGAAAATTACTCGTTTACGCTCAACATTTAAATATGATATTGGGAGATGTGGAAGAAACTGATGAAACATGAAGAGATGTATAAATCAATAAAGCAGAATATTCCAACGTTCTTTGGGGATGGTGTTGAGCTACTTGCCCTTCTACTGAGAGTTGGCTGAAACAAAAGAATTTGTCCAGTGTGAAAGAGACTTTGTATATATTTTTTAATATATTAAAAAGTGAAACCTGCATAGATTTTGATACTCAGAAGTGACCAATGAGTCTTCCAGTTCTAAAGTGAGTTGATTCGCAGATAACTTAAAAGTTCTTAGGCTAAATGGTATTTTCCTTTTTCTCCAATGCTTCAAATAAATGTAATCACAAAAATAACAAAAATTCAATAATCCACTCTAGCATACTTCTAGAGACCAATTAGGTTGGCAGCTTTTGCTGCCATCGCTAGGAATCTTTAGAGGGTTAAGAGTATCCTATGACCACACTTCTATATTGCTCTGGTGCTTTGGGGTGTGTACCTGGCCTAAAGACCCTCTCTTCTGGGGCTTAATAACCTTTCATTCTTCTTGTTCAACTTGCTTCTAGTTAGATCATCTTGTTAGAGAAGATATGTCAAAGAATAATTGAGACAGAACTGCTTTCCACCTAGCACTTAGGAACAAGACAATTTTTATCCAGTATCTTTTTTATTTCCTTCAAACAGCTTTAAAAGGTCCTTTACTATCTTTTACTATCTCTCACAAACTTCTAAAGAATTTTTATCTCTTACATGCTTTGAACATTTGACAATGCTCTTTTACTAATGAACTTTTAAACAATGTACTCACCTGAGAACTACATACTACACTTTACATACTACCTCCTTTTCTCGAAAGTCACGGTGTCCAGTAAGTGTTACAAAAACAACAGTAGCAACAAAGTTCCCATAGATTTCTTTACAACTCCTAAGTGATGCCATGTATTACAGAGCAGAACTGCTCCATATCACTGTTGGTGATAGCCTTTATAGAAGTCGACTGTCAAGCCTTTCTTCCACAGCACTGCTAGGCCAGCTCACACCAACAATGTGTAAGTCAGCAGTGCAAACTGCACATGCCACTCAGGAACTAGCTTACCACCTCTCACTGCTGTCAAGTCAGAAGGGAATCGAAACTCACCCTCCACTGGGTTTCTAAAGCTGTTAATTGCATGAAAAGACTGGCCATCTTTTCCCCAAGTAGCTGTTGGTAGATTTGAATCACTAGAGAAGTACAGTCTTTTTATCTGAGAAACACTCCCCTCTGTGAATTATGCCACCATAGCACCCCACTTAACACACTGTTGTGTACCATCAAGGCAGAAGCAATCCTACAGCTGACCCTCCAATAGCCTGTCAGAGTCAGTAAATTGCATACTGCCCATCTTTCTCTCACAGAGCACTTGGTGCATTTAAACCACATGCCTATTTACTACATGTGTGGGTTGAAGTTTGCCACCAAGTTGGAACTGACTCACAGCTGACCCTCCAGTGGGTTTTCGGAGGAGATTGTCCATCCAATCACACAGGAGACTGTCCATCTTTCTCCTGTGGAGCAAGTGGTAGATTTGAACTGCATGCCTTTGGGATTGCAATGCAGCTTTTTATCCCTAGGTCATGAGAGATCCCCTACTTATCACATCATGTTGTTGTTGTTATGTGCCCGATGCAACTCATAGTGACCCTACGTACAATAGCTCTGTACACTATCCTATCCTGAGTCAATCTCACTATCTCTGACACATCTGCCCCTATTACACCAGTCACTTTAACCAGACCATATTATCCAGGGTCATAAGACCATTTAAATTAAAATTTTTCACTTCTTAGTTGCCCTAGTCACATTTCATGTGCTCCACTGCTAAATATGGCTAGTGGCTGCCCAAATGGACAGCACAAATTTAGACCACTTCCATCACTATGCAGAGTTCTACAGCAGACAATGTTCTAGCGGGTAATGGAAGCAACAAAATCTCAAACAGAATACTAGATTGCATTTAACCATCTCAAATGTTTGGCACACACGGACCATATTTTTTGGGGAAAATGAAGCTTCATTACAATTACAGCTTGCTTGGCTCCACAATCAACACTCTTAACTCCAGCAGTCAGAAATTCAAAAGACAAATTGCATTGGAAAAATATGCTATCAGGGACCTCTCCAGAGCGCTGAAAAGCAAAGATGACAGTCTAGAGACAAAGGTGCACCTGATCCAGGCTATGGACTTCACAATTACTTGTTATGCTTCAGAAAGTTGGACAATGACTAAGGATGACAGATGCAGAATTGATGTTTTCGAGTTGTGGTGCTGGAGAAGAGTCTTGAACATACCACAGACTACCAAAAAAACAAATAGGTCTGTCTTGGAGAAGGTGAAACCAAGTTTCTCCTTGTAGGCTAGGATTTTAAAGCTTCGCTTTACATATTTTGGGCACATGTCCAGGAGAGACAGGTCCTTGGAGAAGGACACAATGCTCAGAAGGGTGGAGGGACAGTGCAGGAGAGGAAAACCTCAGATGAGATGGATTGATACACTATCTGGGGCAATAGGGGTTGGTGTCTCAGGATCAGTGAGAATGGCTCAGGACAGGGAAGGATTCAGAGCTGCTTTACATAGGGTTACTATAGGTCACAGGCGACTCAATGGCACATAACAACAAAAACACACTATACTGGTTGCTTTTTATATACTGGTTGTTTTTTATTTAAGCCTCTTGTTTAGAGTCAACAAATCTTGGGGAAGGCCTTTGTATTTAAAAGGTCAGTTGTTATTATATTTTGGAAGAACATTCTTCTAAGTGGTACAGCATTCTTCTGTCAATATGCTATACTGAGGTTACCTGGGTTTGCTGTGATGCTGAACCCTGTGCCATTTGGATGTCAAATAGTGTAACTATTATCCAACGTAGACAGCATTTGGTGGAACTCCCAGCTTAAGAAAGATTTGGAAGCAGGAGTGACAACCACTTCCTAAACAACTGGAAACTCCATGAACTTTGAGAAACAATAGCTATAGAAAGGCTTCAGGTCTTTTGTTCATAGGGTTGCTATGACTCATGCTTGACTCCATGGCAATCAACAACAATTTGAGGACTTTTCACAGACGTATATCACATCATTCACTTATTTATTCACAAATCATCTGTGTATAGCGAAATAAATCCTCAGACTGAAACAATTAATGGATTGTTAACAGGCACCTCAACCAAGGCACAGGGCATTATCAGTGACCAGAAGCACCCTTTCCCCACAAAAAGTAAAAGCACAAGCCAATTTTTGCCTGTTTAAGAACTTGAAGTAAACGGGACCTTGCAGTGTGGACTCTATTACATCTGTGAGACTGTCCCAAGATGATGTGCACAACTGTGGACGGTTCCTTCTCACTGCTAGTTTCACTGCATAAGCCTGGACACTGACTATGACCTGACCAGTCACAGAAAGGCCAGGGAGAGAGCCCAGTCCCTCTAGCAAGTCTCCTTGTTACATTTTGCCAGGTTTTAGCTGAGACAAATTTGTTTCTCTAGTGTCTTTAAAAAAAAATTGTAAAATATACATACAGACTACTTAAGTCATTAAAAAGAGTTCAAAGAAAATAAACACTCCTCTTAACCATTTTGGGAGCTCGGTGGTCAAGCGATAAGAAAAACTGGCAGTTTGAAACTACCAGCTGCTTTGTAGGAGAAAGAGGGGCTATCTCTTCTGTTTGATTTACTGACTCTGGGAAAAAAACCCTACATCAGCTGTGAGTCAGTTCTGACTTGAAAAGAGACCACAACTTAGCCATTCAGCTTAAGAGCACTTACTGGAAAGTCCAAGTTCAAGTTCTTTATCTAAAGTCAAGGATGATAATATCAATTTCCATCCTTGACATATAATAAATGGTCAGTATAGAGCAGCTTCAATGACTGTAAACGGACAGAAATATCAGCCCAGAGATGATTGCTAAGTTAAATACACCTCAGACAGTTATAACTCTTTAAAGTCACAATTAAGAGACTCCCTTTATGAAGCCACAGCCTATATAAATCAAATGTACAGTTTAACTTCTTTCCAGATTCAGCTCATTGAAAGAATTGAGGGGTTGGTGTTTTTTTTAAAAGGAGCCTTGGTAGCACACAGTGGGACCCTCAGCTGTTAATAAACATGAGTGGCCAATGTCATCCTCTGCTCTAAAGGGCAAAGACCTGGTGTACGCATGCACAGATCTTAAAAAAAAACAACTCAAACTCACTGCCATCGAGTCAGTTTTGACTCCAAATGACTCTCCACTGAGTTTCCAAAGCTGTAAACCTTAATGGGAGGAAACAGCCTGTCTTTGTCCTGAGGAACGAAGGGGTGGATCTGAACTGTTAGATGTTATAAGTAACAGACTATTACACAGTAATAATCACAAGGAGTCCTAATCTTGTCATAGGTCACTATGGCTCCTAACCTTATAAAGATTACATCCTAGAAAACCCTATGGGGCATTAACAAGAAGAAGAAGGGTTTGTTTGTTTGTTTTTAATCCCTTTACATTATCTGAGAGTTTAGAATCAAGGTCACTTGATGCATCTAACTAGAGTAATAAGAAAAGCGGAGGAGTCTCAACTTTGTTCTAAAGTTTTGATCTAAATCTGGAATACATTTGGATTTTTAAAAACTGTCTTTCCAAAGAGTAGTTCCCCTGTGTTGATGTGCCCAAATAACCTAAATGTGCTATTCCTCTTCTCCGGGGTCTGGAAGCTCCAGAATATTATAATTTATTGCCAAAGGCTCTTTTTAGTTATAGCCCGAAGAGATCCAAGATGTGATCGCTTGTGGCTGAAGCATCTTGATGATTAAAACTACTGATGATAAACCTTCACCAAGGACCCACAGAAGCAGACACAGCTGAAGAAGCAATTTTACTAACAGGTTACCAAAAAAACTTGTCCTGCCACCATCCTGGACCACTATGTATAAAATAAACAGTATATATCTTTAATTAATCATGTAATCCCACGCATGTGTTAGAGGCCTTTCCTTGACAAATCTTCACTTCTAGATATTCACCTTTAACTTCCCTAATGGCTTTTCTGGCAATTATGAATTATGTAACCTTAGTTTCCACTCCAACAGTCCAAAGAAGTATGCTTCTTTGTTGTCTAGTACTGAGGCTGTTTTCACTCTGTGATCATGGATATTCCCTGGTCCACACCAACTCTATTTCCCCATAAACCTTCTTTGGTTTTCTTTAAGAAGGCAGAGCTGTTGGTCTAAGGTACCATCAGGTTACAGAGGCTTGTTTATACCTGAGTCTGTGGTGTTCAGCTCCTGATTCTTCAGTCCCTCATGGACAGCCCTCGAGGATGGTATTCTGAGTAAAAAAAATAGCATAATGGTGAGATAATAGTTAAAGTCAATAAAATATAAGGGTTAGTTTCTTTCAAATTTAAGATGCAAAGATAGCAGATTGAAAAATCTATACTAGAAGATACTTCTTTGGCCATACTTAGTTTTAACTGGTTTGCTTTCTTGTGTGTTTGCTTTAAAAATTCTATATACAAAAAAAATATTCTAGAGAGCTCTGGTGGCCTAGTGGCAAGACGCTGCACTGCAATCCCAGAGGTATGTGGTTCAAATCCGCCAGATGCTCTGCTATAGAAAGAGGAGGCAATCTCCTCCTGTACCAGTCAGATCTGATTTGACGGTACACGTAAAAATAATAATAAAAAAAAATTTAAAAAAATATTCTACATACATGTGACCGTGCATGGGACCAAGCGAAGTTTTGTCTTAAGCAACAAATTTATAGACTTTTTTATGTGATTCTTAAACCACAAGCAAGTGAATGATTGTTCTTAAAAGTCACAAAAACAGAAATATAGCTTACAATGTTTTTTCCCCCCATTCCATCAGTTTTAAAATTCGGGACAAATTATATTATTAGAAAACCAGTTTCCATCAGTCTATGCATATAATCTCTAAAAGAGGTTAGCTTTTCAAACATTTTAGAATCAAATTTTAAAAATTTAAGACTTTTTTTAAAATTTTTTTTTTTTTAATTTTTGTGTGAGTGTACCGTCAAATCAGATCTGACTGGTACAGGAGGAGATTGTTCCTCCTTTTCCCGGCAGAGCATCTAGTGGATTAAAAATTTAAACTTTTAAAATAAATTTTTTAAAATTTAAAACCAGACTTGACAATTAAGTCAAGGAAAAAGCCTTTCTTTGGGAAATTTCCGTCTACTCTCTGAGCCCTGGCTGCACTGTGTTTTAGTTAAGTATCTGGGTGCTAACTGAGCATGCATGTTGGCAGTGTGAGTCTACTGGCACTCCACATGAGAAAGAAGAGGCGAGATCGCTCCCATAAAAATTTACAACCTTGTGTAGCCTACACCTATTACCATCGAGTCAAATTTCACTCACAGCAATTCTGCCGGGCAGCGTAGAACTTCCTCACAGAGTTTCCAAGTGTGCTTCACCACTCTTTTGCGGATGGATTCAAACTACCCATCTTTGGTTATCAGATGATTTTTAACGATGAAGCCAACAGAGTTCCTTTGCAAACTCTACACAGCTGTTCAACTCACACTGGGTCTACCTTCTCTATCACCTCAGGCTGATAAAACTCTATGGTCTTTCTCTTCTTTTTTTTTTTAATTTATTTTATTTTTTTATTTAATTTTTTTTTATTGGGAAA